CAGAGGCATGAATTTGTTCCTGAAATGGTTCTCCTTTTGATTGCATATACCAAATATTCAAAAGGAAATGTCATAATCCTGGAATATTGAGCAGAAAATTCCACTAGCTCTAGAGGAAGGAGCCAAAGCAAAACTGTATCGCTGCTCTCTGCCATTCAGAAGTCATCCTGCAATAATATGGCCAACTCTATTAAGTGCCCGATAAAGCAAGACACACCCACAAACATAAGCAGTGGTTTATTCAGCAGGCATTAACCCCCCTGCCATCTACCTACAAAATTGAACATGATTGGAAACTTGCCTCTGTAATGTGGAAAAAGTACAGCAGCAAAAATCATTTTTCCCTATAAGTGGACGAAAGCACAAAGCAGAAAACTACTGGTAGACAGAAGCAGAACAGCGAAGTATGCCAGTATTCTGTTTTTTGTATTTGTACCTCTAGCAGCTTCAGGTAGAAAGACAAAAATCTTACTATTCCATATGGGAAAAAGGAACCCCAGTGTTGCTAGAGCTAAAAAACCAAAGGTTTGGGCTCCACTAGTCTATTTTATTCTGCTCCTGGAGTGAGACAGCCTCCATGTACCACTTATTTATTTATGGTTAAATTCTTAATTCTCATTAAATGATTCAAGACTTCATGATTCAATATAAGATGTCTCTATCATTTGTATATGTATACATCCAAATATTTTTTTTAAAAAAAAATCAATAGTCATATTACAACCATCAGTTCTCCCTTCTGCTTTTACAAAAAGAAAAAAGTTCCTTTCAAACTATATATGTATGGCTAGATCCTGCTCTCTTCTGTTGTGGCAAGTAATCATCACATACTCTATAAGCATGCCATTGCTCCTGTTAACTAATCTTTCTGCAATCTATAAAGAGCTACAATTACGCAGACAAGAAAGCAATAAAGAAGGGGAAAATATTACGTAGATCTTTTTAAAATTGTGCTATCCTAGTATTACTCAGTCTAAGGGACAGTTCCTTAGGTATTCCTAATTCCTAGTACTTGAAATACTTTTCAATGTAGTAATTTAAATGGAGGAAAAACTGGATATTGGAAAAATAAGGATTTACTAAAGCCAGTCTCAGAGATTTCCCAGCACATGTATCAGACAGTATCATTTTACACACAGCAACAGAATCCTTATACTTTCAGGCTTTTAAAATGCTTCCAATAAATGGAACTTAACCCTACCTTCCAGCACCGTACACAAACTGCTGCCTATCTACTCTTCCAAGCTTTAAAATTATATTCACTAATTTAACTGGTACATGGGGGAAAATATGAATGAGAAACAACAGGTCAGTTATCAGAGATGAAATGGTATCTTACCTGGATCCAAAATTCAGGTGCAAAAAACTTTGGCCATACTTCATAATGCAAAGAACTCACAGTCATCTTACTCAAGATTTGTATCTTCTCAGTTTTAATGACTAAGCATCCAGAAATGCAGAGCAATCAGATATATAGCAGGTATTTAAAAGTAAGTGCACTATTCATTCTCGCACAAACTTTCTACTGCATTTCTTTAAAAATAAGTTCAAATAAACCACTTAAATGCCCTAAAAGTTTGTATTCAAAGATGCTGGTTTTGCAAGTAGCCTCCTGCAAACTGAGTCTCTCACAAAACCTCTGATGTACACATAGAGGCAGCTTTTGAATCCTGTCAGGTACTTTCTGGCTTCTTGTAGGGAGCTATACTAGCCTGCATATACTCCAAAATGGCAACCTCATCTCTCCTTGTTGCTATGGACACACCATACGTCAGACCTGCACTTTTTTCCCTCAGACCTGTTTGTTTATGACAGGCCTAGGTGCTTCCTATTATGGTGCCTGCATCAGCACAGCATGCTATTCGCCAGTAATGAGAGCCCGCGGCAAACACTGAGGTGATCAGCATGCAGCAGAGGACAGAGATGCTGAGGAATTCGAGCATGCTCTCTGCAACTCTGCACAGAACGGCAATTTCAAGAATGGGTAAGCAGCATACAAATCACAGCACCCTGAATTTGGTATGAATGGTCTGCTGTTACCGGAGGGTGGGGTGGGGAAGTTTTAATACAGGCAAAGTGCTGAAAATAAAATTCTGGAACAGGACAGTTTTAAGCAGCGCAGCAAATTGACCTCTAGACACTGGACTGAATTTTCTGTTATCCCAGCTCCTGGAAATCTGCCACGGAAGGCTGCATTGATGGCACAGCATGGTTTCTAAGTCTCGGGACTATCTAACAGTTTGCAATACTATTGCCCTTTCTTTCGCAGCTCTTGCACGGCACTTTAGAAATATATTGCTCTCCCTCTGGCTGCAGAAGAAAGCCTGTTTTGCTTCCCCTGTGGACTTGATGGAAGAACTGCTCTCAGGGACAAGGGAGACATAACCCAGAAAGAGGATGTGACAGGTCCCGGAGTTCCTATCTGCTGACACTGCCAGCTCAACTAACACAACATCCACTCAGCCAAGTCACCTTGCCAAATGACCTCACTTGTTCAGATGAGACAAGGCTTAGCTCATACTGACATATCTGGGCCCAATTCACTATAAATTTGGAGATAACACAAATAATGGTCTTTCCTGTTTCCAGACAGCTCCAGCAGCGTAATCCTTAGCAAGAGCAGAAGCTATTACATCACTAATCATGTTGAAATGCATGAGAATAGCCAAACCCTACAATTGTTAAGTAGCCACAGAATCAGCAGACATCAACAGATTGGCCAGTACCTTGATAAAAGCATAACTTGAAAAAACAAAAACAAAGTTCACACCACTTTTTTTACATATCTCAAAAGAACCCAATAAATGAAAGCAACAGAAAGTTTTTGTTGATTCTCAATAAACACTCTGCATCATTTTGAATGCTGCCATGTAGGAAAGCTTCAGTTCTGAAACACAGAGCATACTCTAAAGCAAAATAAGATTCCAGGGTTTAATTTCTTGGCATGGAAAAGCTATGACAAGTTGTGCCACATTTCTTCCAATTTCTCAGGGAAGCAGAACATATGAATCCTACAAGATTTACAATATATAAAGAATGCAAATCACACATTAAGAGATAGCATTAAGCTACAATCCTATCCTGTCCTGGAGTAAGGAAGCTTATAGACAAGGGGCAATCTCAAGTCTGTCCACGTATTAGCATGACTCACTGCTGGCGCAACAGGGACCTAGCAGTTCTAAAAGCACATAAAAAGAGTGAAAACACTCATTTTCAGAATGGGGCAGTTCAGTGAAGCTTGCAAACAGAAGCTTTGTTCACTTGTCCTGGCAGAAACAAGTATTTCAACTTGTTTCTAGAGTTGCTTTTCGAACTGATAGCTTTCTCTGGCACAAGGTGTTACTGTGCAACTGCCCTGCCTCATTCAAGGAGTTTTACAAAGGTTCAAGACAGTCCTTTATAGCCCTCCCATATTTTTCTTTGCTTCTTCCAAATATTTTTTTACTACAACAAGTCCATGAAGGAGGAAAAGATGGATTAACTAGCTAACAAATGTCTTTTTACTGGTGGCACTAGAAGTTGCCCATCTGGAAACACCCTAAGTCCTGTTAAGCTCAACGGACCTCCTCAGAAATGCAGACAACTGCATTATAAGCCCATTAAAATCAACAGGCTTAACTGTGCTTAGTTTTCTGTGGGAATGTGGCTTTGATGTTTAGCATTCAGAGCTGTGGACCCCATAATTAAACTGGAACTGTGCATTTCTAAGAAACAGATACACCTTCTAATTACTAGCTAGATGCCATGCCAGGCACCTGTACAAAGGCACAGATGTGCTCAAGTAACAACATCTGCACGAACAGCCAATCAAAAGTGAAAGACTTGCATGGTCAGGCATGAAGACTATTTGCTCTTCTCCTAGAATCTGCTTCCTCCAGCCATACATAATGCATTTGCTCTCCTGAGCCTTCGACCAGTAGCTTGTCAGCCAAGTTGCCCCTGCTGTTTGCAGCTTAATGAAGGACTAAGTTAGATGATCCAGTGCCAAAGACAGTGCTCTAATGCAGATCTGGGGAGCATGTAACACCCCAGTTGGTGGTGGAATGTGATTTATTTTCTTTAATACCCAATAACTGAAGACCTCTGGGCAATTCAGCTTAGTTAAAACCTTAAAATGTAACATGATAAAATATAACAGTTTAAAGCTGCTGTTGAAACTGAAAATTAAAAAAGGAAATAAAACTTAGAAGCCATGCAATCGTTTAAAAGAGAGTAACAGCTTTAAGGACAAAGAACCTGAAAGAATAGAATATCTTAGAAATAAGGTCTTCACATGGGAACAAAAACATCAGAATGAAGGCACCAGGTGTGCATGCCTGAAGAATTCATCCTGCAACCAGCATGCCACAGCAGAACAGGTCTCCTTCTTAGCCCCACCTCACTTCATTTGGCAGGGGTCCCTGGAGAAGGACCACTGAAGCCAAGCCAATGCAAGTTAGTCCAACAAAATGGGGGAGGAGAACACTTATTTATTACGGACGTGTGTGTGTGTGTGTGTGTGTGTGTGTGTGTGTGTTGCTTTTCATTTAAAAAAATCCAAAATAGTTTGCAAAGCAACCATATTCTCCACCCTTGCTTCAAAAATTATTTCCGCATTGCAGCTATGGTAGGCAATATATGCTAATTAGGGGCAGCTTTGCAGAGATACCACATTTTGTGATTCACATATTTGCTGCACCCTGACAAAAATCGGGTGAGGAAAACAATCTATGAACAAGATTCCTATAACAAAGTCTGCCTATAGCTAGTACAAAGGGACAAGGAAGGTACAGAATAGATTCCATCTGTGGTTCTTGAAGGCACGGGGCAGGTTTATTGGCACATCCTGGGATGTATCCAGTACTGCCACTGTATCTTCATGCATTATGTTGCATATGCAAGCCAGTGTGGTGTAGGGGTTAAGAGCTCTGGACTGGGACTCAGAGGATCTGGGTTCTAGTCCCCGCTCAGCCATGGAGCCAACTGGGTGACTTTGGGCCAGTCACAGACTCTCAGCCCAACCTACCTCATGGGGTTGTTGTTGTGGGGATAAGATGGAGGAGGAGAATGATGTAAGCTGCCTTGAGCCCTCTGTAGGAAAAAGGCAGGATATAAATCCAATAAATAAATAGGTAGGTAGGTAGGTAGGTAGGACCAAAGGCCAGTACAACAGAAAGAGGTAGGATCCACCCTAGAATGTGCACCATAATATTTTAAAAGCCTGGCTACCACCACTCATGAATGATTCCTCCTCAGCACATGCTCATACACAAGGAAAAAGAGAGAAACATCAGGAAATGGGAGAATGGAGAGGAAGACTTCTTGGCGGTCTTACATCATTTTAGAAACTGAGCACTTACGGTTATGGAGGAAAATATAACCCTTCTGGAAACATAATCAATCAGCTCTGGAACCTATACTTGCCAGAGAACTTTGTGATTATTGACCTGCTTCACATATTGCAACAGGAAAACCTGCTTCTCCCAAACAGGTTCATGTCTCCAGGAACTAGGCCCTACAGCTCATTTCCTATGGCACTGCACTTATTCTACATGTGTGCTGTTTGGGGCCACTAGACAATGAGAGCATCATCCAGACTGAGATCTAGACATTATGGGTAGGCTAGTGAATGCTGCGAGTTGCAGGAGTTTTTCCGTCCAAACATGCATAGGACTGTGTCTTCTATAACATTTTAATCCTATTGAAATCAATGGGATTTCTCTTACTCATAACAACTTCTCCAATTTATTTAACTAGTGTAAAGCACAACTAACCTACAATGTAATCCAAAGTGGGATCGTTGAGAAGTAAAGCCCACTAAGTTCAGTAAAGCATACTCCCTAGTAATTGTGTAATTTAGCTACAGTTGATTTTATGGATTTTGCATGTTTAATTATAGGTACACGCTAAAAACACAAATATAACATATGGAAAGAGCCAAAAGCAGGAGATTAGGATGTCTCCCAACTATGAAAAGAGACTAAGGGAATCAGAAGGGTTTGGGTGAGAAGACGAAGATAAAAGCATTGTCTCCTTTTTTTGCATCCCAATGTTCTGGTCTTTGTGTACTTTGAAGTCCCAACAGTATGTCCAATGTGTAACATAATAAAGTGTCTGCTCCAACTTAATTCCTTTATTTCACAGATACGGGAGAGGAAAATAACCATCAGGGCTTGGATTAGGAGTATGAACAACAAGTCTGGACACTAAACTGCCTCTATGAAAATGGCATACATATGACAATTTTACCAGGGGTAACTTTTCCCATCACAATATTTCATGCTATGAGATGCCACATGTGGTGGAATGTTTCCTTCTATACAACTCCAAAAACTGTATGAGTCATCACAGGATTAGGACAAGACAGATCTACTTACTAATTGTATCCATTCCCCCGGTCCCCTCTCCCCACTTCCAACATTACCCTGGACCCACCCCAAATGTAAAACTTGTTTTTCCCCCCTCTGTTACCCACCCATTTTTTTCTTGGGCATTTACATCTCTAATCCTATCTAAAGAAAAATCATATGCAACTCAAATGCTTTCATGGTGCATTTAAACTGTATAATCTTCAATGAAAAGGATATTAATTCATCTTTTTGTACAGATCCCAGTGAATTAAATGGGAATTATACAAGAACATGGATCCTGTTCATGGAAATGGGCAACTCTACCCATAATGGACTATGCTGTGAATTCCAGAAGGGCAACCAAGTTAATCAGTTGAAGCAAACAAAGATTCATATCGTACTTGAAATACTTAAGCTATTGTTAGCACAATCCTATACATTTTACTTGGATGTAAACTCCACTAAAATCAGTGAGTGCTTGGGATTGCAGCCTTATTGAAATGTGAGATTTCATGGATCAGAATTGTTTTTGTCAGATACATGTAGCTAATTAGTTCATGGCAAACAAAGTTGGCCAAGGAGGGAAATTCTTCAAATTTGGGAGTTCAACCACCAATTCAAATTTTGATGGAGATGGGATTCAACGAAATGAAATTATGAAACGCATACTTGCCACTGTGTGCCAACTGTATGACTCAAAAAACCCAATAATAGTTCTCTAGTTCAGGACGCTGAATAGGAAAATTGATGGGATGATGTGCACCATGAACCCATCAGAGCATGCACAGTGGAAGGGCGGCTAGGGCAGTGCTGCTATGACCAAGCAAGTGGAAAATGAACGGCCTGTAATCTAAGGCTGTAGTGGGGAGAAGGCTCATCCGGATACACTCGTAGGTCTCTGGGGTGACTGCAGTAGATCAGCAAGGCTTACAATACTTAATGGAGTAGCAATAGTGATGATAACAAAAAAGCTTTCCCCCTCTCTTACATCAGCCTGCTGAAATCAAGAGGACAGGTGTAGCTTTGTGTCTGGAAGAATCTGTATATGAGCTCCACTTCCGGGTCTGAAAATGAATTCCTGTGCTGAGCCTGTGTGTACATTGTCCTGCAATTCTGTATCTGCCTACACGGTCCAGTTTGTGGATGTCAGCATTCTGATAGAAAATGAAGGAACCCCTGCGAGTCTATAAAACCTGCCTATTCCTGCCCTAAAATGCTTTCTGTCATCTAAGGAAAGGAACAGATCCCTGGTATTTGAGAGATTAACGGGAGGCACTACCCTATGAGGCCATGGGGGGAAATGCAGGGCAAAAAACAGAATCAGACCAACTTTCAGGTGTGGAATTGCTTCTTTTCACACACATGGTTCTTGAGTACCTACCAAATACCTTGTTATAAATTTGCCTTCTCCAGCCTCGTGCCCTCCAGATGCGTTGGTGTACAACTCCCACCATCCCCACCCAGCATGGCATGCCAGGTTGAGGGAGGTTGCCATAAGCCGTATCTGACCACAGCTGTGCAACTATGTTTTTCTCTCCACAGGATTTCTAGTCTTAGGATCAGGAGAGGGCAGCTGGCTTCCTTCCAACACTAGTACAGTGCTGGATAGGAAAGAGATGTGCTAATGTTGAGAACTGTAGTGTGCTCCTGTAGTCTTTGTACAACGTCAACAGGACCTTGGGGGTGGGAAGGCAGTGTTGTTCCTAGCCATTCACAGCCACTTTAAGGTTTCCATTTAGGGGTTTCATGCATAGAAATCACTCCTATGAGTAATATCACTGAACAGGATTTTCTACTTGTGCCTGAGATACAGGGAGACCAGAAATCCCTAAACAGCTTAGCACATGAGTGACTGTTCCATGGATGCGTTTCTTCTTTACCTTATGATTTTACTTACAAGGGAGGCTGAAGCAGCCATAGAAATAAAAGCTGTTCATGACATTCTGCTGGCAAAGTCCCTTTCCAGCAAGAATCAGGGCCCATCTTGGCTCGGATCTACAGTGAACCTTCCCCATATGGATTGCTATCACTAACAGCAGAAGGAGGTTGGCTTCTGCTGAGTCTACTCTATGACCTGCTTGCTTGGTAGTTAGTCCCACAGAAGTACAACTCTGAAAGCAATTCTGACTTTGCTTGGCAGCTGCCTTGTTTGCAAGCTTTTCTCAAGAAAAGTGAAAAACACTCCATTGCACACCTCTGATGAAGCTAGGGTGAAGAACCTAAAAAGCAAACCAAGGCTTTTGCATGAGGAAAAACTCTATAGCAAGTTGCTCTTTGCACCCTATTCTTGCTTCTGAAAGCCCTTTCTACAGAAGAGAATGATGTCTACCCATCCCACCCACGCTTATCTCCATGGTTACCCAAGTGGAAGTCTGTTGTGTACTCCAGCACTACCTAGAGCAAGTGATTAAAACACAAGGCACTCCTTCTCCATCAGAGAACAAAGACTTAAGTTTCTTGTATCTCATGCCAGCAGCATAAAAGGTGGTGGTGTGTGGGCAGAGAAAGGTATTACTTAATTAATATGTTAAATATAACCCTTTGTGAAAGCAAGGAAGAAACCTTTACTTTATTCCTTCCTGCAAGCCATGGGTATTTCATAGTGCTAAAGGTACTATCTATGCTGGGTCATTCTAATGCAACTTTTCAGCAGGCTAGGACCTGATCCTGTTTTGCTCTGATAAGCCACATGTCAGCCCACATCCCATTCATCCCATGCCATCCATCTTTTAGAGCATACTAAAAGCTGAAAGCAAACATGATGAAGTTTGCACCAGATGACGTGAACAATTCAAGAAAACCTTCTAGCAAAATTTCCCCAACAACTCATTTCTAATGCCACAAAAAAAAGGGGGGGGGGAGTGAGCCTAAGGCCACAATCCAATCTCTTCGGGGGGGGGGGGGGAGTTATCTTCATGCTTCAGTCCTTGAAGTCAAGGTTCTCCAAAAGCCTTGCTAGCTTTTGTCTTCCTAAATTGTAATGGACATCAATGGAGGAACAAGGGGCTGAAACAGCTCAGTGACAGGGCACAGTATATATGTATTGATGTTGAATGCAGACTTTGCAACTAAGACAAATGGGTACTTGCAGAAATGTACAATCCAGGAACAGCTAGCATACATCAAAAAGTATTTGCTCCATAATATTTTTCACTGGGAAGCAGCCATAGCTCAGTAGCAGAGTGTATCCTGGGATGCTGGAGGCTGCAGTTTGATCCCTGCCACATTAGCCAAAGGGAGGAGGCAACAAGTGATAGGAAAGACCTCTGCCCAAGAGCCAGTAATAGCTAGAGTTGGAAATACCTGGCCAGACAGACCAAGATCTGCCACAGTGTATCATGGCATATTATATAAACCTTCCCCCATTTGGTGCCCCTCTGATGATCTGGTCTACAATTCCCAGAATTCCTGACCATTAACCATGCCTGGAGCAGATGAGAGTTGAAGTTCAGAACATCTGAAGGGCAACAGGTTGGAGAAGACTGCCTTATACTTTCATCAGAAAATGGTGGTGTTCTTGTTTCAAGGTAAGTCTCTTCCAAAGTAAATGCCCATCAGGTCTTTGATTTTTCCAAGAAATAGTAGGAAACACAAAAATCCAAATGCGTTATGAAGTCAGGAGTGCTCTCTGCAGACATTATATAAGAATACTGTCACACAGTAGCTGCAGATTTTATGGAGCCTATTAGTAGTTTATTGATCTTAAAACACTTCAATAGACCACCTGCCCACTATACAACCGGGCTACTGTTTACTGGAAAAGAATTCTTTTTGCAACAGTTGAACAATAAGATATTGGTTGATAAGAAAGTCCCTTTAAATTTGATGTGACTACATTATTCTTCCTCTCTAATATTAAACAGGCTGCTCTACTTTACAGTTGTGACTGAAATTTTTATCACTGATATCAACAGAACCATACACGAATGCATGCTGAACCATACACAAAAGACTGGTGTGCATATTGCAACTGATGTGTGGAGGCAGTATGAAGTAATTTCTGCATGGCAGTCAATAGAAGTAGCAGTCATAATATGACTGCTTGCACTATGAACAGGACCCACTAAATGGAGGGGTTCAGCCAAACACTGATAGCAGCAGCTGTGAGCAGACTCTTGTTCTGATGGAAGCAATTAATGTCTTGAAAAAGGGGGTGAGAAGAGCTGTCCTTTTACACCTCTTCTTCAGAGTGACAGCCCAAGCAAGTGTTGGGAAGAAAGAGTTTCTTGCCTGCACTTGTATTTTTAAATTCAAACCTTTGATTCAGTTCTATAAGCATTACTTGGCCAACAGAGGCTGGTTATTTCTTATTTCATATTATTTTCTATTTTTCAGAAATACATCTAAGAAAAGAAGACAAACAAGAGCCCTTTTCCAGAAGTTCAAAGAAATCAACAGGAAATTCAAACTTAAAATTAGGAATATTGAAAGGCACACAGGAGGACATACTTCTCTGACCAGGAGAAAATAAAGAGCAGGTAGGAATGATATACAGAAGGACTATCCAGAAAATATAAAAAGATAACTGACTTTTTTGAAGAAGATTGTTATGAGGAAGAGCCTACAATATCAGAAAGTGAAGGGAAAGCTACTCTGAAAGCAGTTGGAACAGATGAAGCCACTGGAGTAGACAGGGTGCCAGTAGAACTAATCCAAGCTGCAGAGATTTAATAAATCCAAATGATAACAAGAATATGTCAAAAATATGGGAAACAAAATAATGACCCAGAGATTGGCAACATTTGATATATATTCCAATGCTCAAGAAAAGAGATGGAAAGGAATGCAGCTACTACAAAACCAATGCACTGATTCCTCATGCAAGCAAAGTGATTCTCAAGGTGTTGCAACACATATTCTTATACAGAGCAAGAAATACCTATCATTCACTCTGGATTCTGAAAAAGAAGAGGCACTCAAGATCATTTCACAAATATATGTTGGTTTCCAAAGATTAGTCTGTGCTTTCAGTAAAGTCTTGAACTGTGTGAATCACAGGAAGCGACAAATGACCCTGAAGGAAATGAATTTACCTCAGCACTTAACTCTCCTGTTGCAATAACTGGTATCATGATTAAGAAGCTGAATATGGGGAATAAGAATGGTTTCCTGTAAGCAAAGGCATGGGACAAGGATGTATTTTATCTCCCTATCTGTTCAATCTGTATGCAGAACATACAGAACAATCCAATAAGGAATGTTGGATTTGGATCAAGTGAGGAAAGAGTGAAAATTGGCAGAAGATACAACAATAAATTAAGATATGCTGATGATACTATATTACTGTAAGCAAAGAAGGAATTGAAATGATTCCTAATGAAAGGGAAAGATGTGCAAAAGCAGGATTGAAGCTGAAAGAGAAAACAAAAAACATGACTAGAGAAAAATTACACAACTTTACCGTAAAAAGAAGAAAATGAAATTGCAAAAGCTTTTGCATAACTTGGTCCAGTCATCAACTCAAATGGAGTCTGTACCCAAGAAACTGGGAGAAAGACTGAGACTTGGAAGGGCAGCAATAAAGAAAAGAAAGATAATAAAATACAAGGACTTTTCATGGGAGACCAAGGTCATTTACTCTACTGTATTCCCAATCTAATATATAGGTGTGAAAGGTGGGCAGTGAAGAAAGCTGACAGGATGAAAACTGATGTGTTTGAAACATGGTGTTGGAAAAGAGCTTTGGGAATACTCAGGACTGACAGAAGGACACACAAGTGTGTTCTAGATCAAATCATTCAAGAACTCTTCCTGCAAGTGAAAATGACAAAACTGAAGCTGTCATACTTTGAGCACATCATAAGAATGCAAGACTCTCTGGAGGAGACAGTAAGGCTGGAGAAAGTCAAAGGCAGAGGAAGACCAAATATGAGATGGACTGACTCCACAAAGGAAGCCACAGCCTTGAACTTACAAGAGCTGTGCAGCACTGTCAAGGACATTTTGGGGGGGCATAATTCATATGGTCACCATTAGCTGGAGATAATCTCATATAGCAAACAAAATCTCTGATTATGGCCATACCACAGCAAGGCAACCCTAGATTCTCAGACAGCATGTGTGTATGAAGGAAGCACACACGTATATGGAAGGAGTTATGATCTTCCTCCACCAATGTGTGTGTTTCCTTCATACACACAGAGATCTGAGATCACTCCAGGAGATTTAGACATGCTAAATAAAACTTAGGCTGTAGGCTATTGTGCAGTAACCACGTCTACAGCCCGAACATCCTTCTCAAATATGTGGGTATGCACACACACACATTTGCATGTAGGAAGAATGTATTCTGAGTCCCTTCTGGCTGTGGTGTCTGTCCAGACCTTCAAAGAAAGCCTAACTAGGCCACCATCCTTTTCAGACAGTGGCCAACCAGTTGCCAATGGTACGTCTGCAAGTAAAATACAGGTAGTCCCCAGGTTATGAACGAGTTCCATTCCTGAGAAAATAGAAACTTGTCTTTAAATCAAATCTATATATGTTGGATTGCATATAGTCAGTCCTCCACACACACAGGGCTTAGGAACACAGGACTCCCATGAGAGTGGAAAAACACAATTATCTCTGCTCAAATTCACCAGTGCCTCCTTTCTGCAGCAAGGAAATGCCAGAGAGATAGGTGGGGCAGGGAGGAATGCGTTGGAGCCCGCCTTCTTTCCCATTTTCCTTCCTCTCTCTCTATGGTGATTTTTTTTAAATCACTGTGGAAAATCATTAATAGGCTTTATGGCAGTTTGTAAGTATGGGTTGTTTGTAACTTGGATGTTTGTAACTTGGAGACTGCCTATATGAGCAACATAGCACCTTCCTGTTTATGTTCCCCAGCATCTGCTAGAGCAGTGGTGGCGAACCTATGGCATGTATGCCGCAGCGGGCATGCAGAATCCTCTCTGTCAGCACGCGAGCCAAGTCACCCCAGCAGCCGAGCATCAGGTAACAGCGCACACAGGGGCCATGCGCACACTCAGAAAGGAGTAGTGGTGCCAGGTGATGACATCACGAGCAGCGACTCATCCACCATGACTCATCCAAACTTTCGCATGGCTGGTCAGTGTGCTACCAAGGATATATATATATATATATTTGCTTGGACTGGCTGTGTGTTGTTGTTTTTTCTAAACTAAAACCTCAGTATTCAGGTTTTATTGCAGTGTTGACACTTTGCAATAAATAAGTAGGTTCTGGGTTGCAGTTTGGGCACTCGGTCTCTAAAAGGTTTGCCATCACTGTGCTAGAGAGAGGCATACTGCCTTCAATGCCAGGTATAATATGTACCCATCATAACTATTCTTATTCTTCTTGTGCATTTTATTCCACCTTTTCTTCTCTTGTGAGGAATCCAAGGTGGCTTCCCTAGCTCCATTTTATCCTCACAACAACCCTGTGAGGTAAGGCTAGGCTGAGAGTGAATGACTGGCCCAAACTCATCCAGGGAGTTTCATGGAGTTGTCAGCCCAGCACTCTAATGCCCACACCAAGAGCCTTACCCTCCATGGGTTTGTCTAATCCCCTTTTAAAGTAATCCAAATTGGATTTACTGCACTACACTGGCTTTAATTTTCCTGAGACAAAGAATCGCATGCATGCTGTGTGAAATACTTCCTTTTATCAGTCCTGAATCTCCTACCATTCAGCTTCATGGCTTGATACTGAGTTTATGTAATAAGAGATAAAAAGAAAAATGCCTCCCTGTCCTCTTTCTCCACATTGTATATATTTTTTTCCTGACCCACCTGAATAGCACTGACACCATTCCTGATGCAAAAGCTAAAACCTCAAAGGAGAAATTTCAGCCAAAGGAAGCACTACTTTTTCTTGCTCTGGCTGAACCAAAGAGGCAAGCATGGAATGGTCATCCTCTTTTTCCTTTGCTTAAGAAGCAGCACTGACTCAAGACCCTTCCTCTGTTCCTCCCTCCAAATTTCCTTGCAATAATTGTGGAGACTGTGGACATGCACAGTTCTGCTTCTCAGAGAGAGTCAGGTCAAGTTCTATGATTACAATCCTGCAAAACATCCAAAGTATTGAAACCACATGGTGATCCAGGGAAAGGTGGGTGCATGCATTGTTTTATATCAGCCTTCCTCAACCTGGTGCCCTTCAGATGTTTTGGTCAACATGGCTGGCTGGAGGAAGGTAGGAGCTGCAGTCCAACACATCTAGAGGGCAAAGGGTTGTAGAAGGTGCATATTAGATAACACCACAAACCTCTGTGTTTGAAAGGTGATTTTCACAACACTTTAACCAATCCAAAACAGGACAGCAAGAATGATTATGAAGACTGGCTCATGAGAACACATTAGACCAGTCTTCTACCAGCTACACTGGCTGCCAGTAGAAGTCCAGGCCCAATTCAAAGCGCTAGTATTAATATTAAAAGCCCTAAATCGCTTGGGACTAGGTTTTCTGAAGGATCGCCTGAACCCTGAGGTTATCTCTGGGGTTCCTTCTCTGGGAGCCCCTTCAGTTGTGACACCCGTTTTGGAATGAGCTTTTTAAAGAGGTGTGCCTGGCGCATTCTCTATTCTTTTTGGTGGTAGGTGAAGACCCCCCCATTATTTTAAACTTTGTTTTTGTATGTTTCATTTTATTCTGTACTGCTGTTATGTTTTCATGCTGAATCATAGCAATTGCTATTATGGTTTGCTCTTTTAAATTATTTTTTGTTTGCATCTGTGTCTTTTTAAACTTTTGTTTTATTTTAACTTTTGCTAACCACCTAGAGAGACTCAGCTATTGGGCAGTATAAAAAATAAATAAATAGGTAAAGCAAATGATTAATAGTTAACAAGTATCTTCTGCTGGACTGTACCCATTCATGAAAAGGCAAATTTAGTAGTGTACCTATGAAAGTAATAACGTACAAGAAATACTTTTTAATATGTTTATTTATTCAAAGATTATTAAGGTACTGTTTATTTGTCTGAGATAGTGCCTGGTCCACATGTCATGATAAGCCACAGTGGGTTACGGTAGGCATGTTATGAGCAGAGCCAGCTAGAGCTGGGGGTCAGACTAGATGGCTTGGGAGGTCTCTTCTGACTCTATGTTCCAATTCACCTGTATGGCTGACATAAATGCCACTATATTCACTCTGCAAGCTATGGTGAAAGCATAGTGAAAATGCAACTTGTCACGTCATGGGCCCAGGTGTCATCCCTTGGATAACTATAGAAAAACCCATGCTTGTGTATTCAAATAGTGGCAGGTACATGTTTTGATAAACCCAACAGGGCTTTATCATGACATAAAAACTGGACCATTATGTGCTTGTTAAATCTTGTTCCTGCTCCAGTATGTCAAGTACATCCAAGATAGCAACTCATAAAGCAGAAAAAGCTAAAAGATCACTGTGCCAAGGGACAACAAACTTTCTACAGTGTTTACTCTTCCCAAAAGCAAATACATCTTATTTAAGCTTAACTATACTTATATAACATGCATGCTCCTTGGGGCAGGGGGGAGGCAATACAGATATGTGTGTGCTGTTCATGTATCACATAACTGTGGTTCAGCTGAAGAGCAGAAGGTTCCGATTCAATCCCCAACACCTCCAGATAGGGCTGGAGCCCCAGAGAGCTGCTGCTAGTCTCTTTCAACTAGGCTGTATGGACAGCTGGCCTAAGTATAGAACAATTTTCTGTCCCCCTGGTGTTTAACCACTGTTTTAACCAGTGTCTCTCCTAGGATCCTTAAATCTCTCTGGGCCCCACACATGCAAAATCTTAAATACAGAAGGCCTCTCTCTCAATAAATCCTCATGCTAACAGTATGGAATTGCATGTCAGGCTTGGTCAGTGGCAAAGTTAAAGAGGAATAGACAATCTTGTGCACGCTTTTTATTCTAAAGACTCCACAAGTGACTTGGAAAGCTGCAAGGGAACCAGAGTAATAAATGATCTGCAGTAGATCCCCACCTCCTTCTCCTTTGTGCAAGCACCTTTGCGGGATTCCGGTGAGAAGGAAGAGGCCCCAGGAGTCAATCAAATCCTAATCCCCCACCTATGAAATACCAGTTGATACTGAGGATAGGATTGAAGTGTGCTCATGGCCTGAGGATAAGTTGCTGAGAAGGGTGACACCTCTTGCCAAAATATCCCTAGCAAGTTACCCACATGCAAGATTTATTCATTCATACAGATTTGTTTTACTAGCCAAAAACAGTTAATGTTACTTTTAACGCTCAGAAAAATTCTTTAGGCATCTGATTTATGCACACATGAATCTGTACATCTTTCAATGAATTAAGCTACACAGAACTTAAGGCTATTTTGAACAGTGGGCACCTTCACCAAGATACCATGCAAAGAGACCTTGTGCTAACACTGTTTTCCTAATTGGCTGGTGGAAGGAGAATAACTTCTGAGCAGAGCATTCCCCTTTAAACAAAATGAAGTTTCTTCTTTGCAAAGTTGTGAAATTTCTTTCGAAAGTCAGGCTTGCACAGGAACAACATCCAAAATGTTTGGTGGTGATGCCCGGGAATTTCCAGTTGTGGAATGTTCAGCAAGTACAAAAAGGAACCCTACAGAAACAAGTTCAGGGAATGGGGACTTCTTGAACTATCACTGACATTTGGGCCGCACTCCTAAAACACATATGTAAGGAACTGGAGTTCACTACAACTTCCAGTGAACACAGGAGCAGTTATTACCAAGTAAACATGCAAATAATCACAGTGCTCCTGTGGATCAAGATACTGACACAGTGCATTTAATCAGCAACAAAGAATCGAGACGTCCACATCCTCATTTTATGGACAAAATAAAACTAATCATGTGCTTGCAGTATAAATTTTCAGTGCTGATGTAAGGAATGGCATCATTCAGGCTGACCTTCAGAGTGACTATGGCAACTCAGCTTATTGTACATCTCAGACAGAAAACCTTGGCTTTATCATCCAATTTCTGAAGCAGTGGGGAAAAGTCAATTCCTTGCAAAATGTTTCTTTTCCCTAGTATCACTGAAATTCTTCAAATATTCAATGCTTCCAAAATACGAAAGACATGTGCAAATGTTTTGGTAGTTAAAGAACACCACTACTAATTAAGTGATAGGTAAATATACTACTTCTAAAGAATGCTTTTGAGAAAATACACTAATAAATATAATAAATAAGAACATGCTAATTTGAAAAAAAAAAACTCACTTCCACACAACTTTGGATCCTAGAATCATAAAAATGTCATGTACTTATCACAATTGCTGAATTAAGCTAATTATGTCTATTTGTAAGCTAGAATATAATGTGGTTGGTGGGTGGGGAATTAACCCAAAAGGCTGTTGACCAAAATATATTGCAAAAAGGGTTTCACTGCACTCATATAGGCCTGCTAACTAGGCACTTTTCTTTGGAACCATCATGTGTGTACTTTCACAAATTCAGGACCACTGCAAGTGTTAGGACAACACTTATATATTTTAAGTGTTGTCCTAAAAGCCCAAAGTGGTATCATATACCTACGTGCAATTACATATGCTGTACAGGAATATTAATCAGGGAACAATGACTGGCTGCAGCTTCCTACTGAATATACCCTCTGTGACAAAACAGAGTCTGCTCTTACACAATATATGAAAGTACCCTTTGTGTTTGCTTAATTCTTAATTAAAATGAATGTGCAAGAACCTTGGGTTCAACTGTCAATAACAAACATGAAAACACCACAGTTAAACTCACAGTGCCAAAGAAGAAAACAGCATGCACAAAAAATAATAGGCCAGCTTCGCCACCCTGGCACCTGCCAGATATTTTGGACTACATCTCCCAGCATTCCTGACTAATGGCAATGCTGATTAGGACTGAAGCGAACTGAAGTCTAAAACATCTGGAAGGCATTCAGATGGGAAAAGCCAGGCTAGGGAATCCGAAATATGTTATTAATAAGACAAACATTATGCTATCACTTTTCCACACAAAAGCATCTATCTCTCAAATAAATAAACCATTAACTAGTGACTCCTATGTCTTGGTCCTTCAGTTTATGAGCTCAAGATGCTTGTGAGTATTGCTGAGGGGTACCCACTAGTTTCAGTCTGTTTTTATGTAGACAAGACTTCATCTAGAGACAAGTCATGAAACTATGGAATCATAGCTCAACACGGACTACCTAAAAAGAGCATCACAGTATAAACATAGAAAAACACTCTTCTTGGTGAAATCCACATGTATTTGAATGTTACAGAACTGCACTGAGAGACATGCAGGAAAACTTTTCTGCTTTTATTACTGTATGTTCAAACTGGGGACATGTGTCACTATTTCATCTTCAGGACTACAGAAATATGATAAAAACTAGCATTGCAAGCTTAATGTTTAGGTAAGGGGAAAAACGTCCAATGAAAGCAGTGAATTTTTTTTCTAGATCAATATGATTGCCATTCCCTCTCTTAAATGCGAATAGCAGCATCTTTATTTTGTCTACCGTTGCATATATGTAGCACTTATACATAACATGAACACCTATCTGTTTCCACCCTACACATGGCCTTTCTTGCTTTTCTCTGTTCCAGGGGATTTATACCAAGCTCAAACCACATCACGTATAACCTTTTTAGTTCATGTTTACGGCTGTTGAGCACATGCACCATCTTTTCCCATCTTGATTTTAAAACGGCAGCACTCTTAGGAGCAACTTTTACATGGCTTCAAAAGCTTTGAACCTCAAACTAAACCCACTCTTTTGAACCCCTATCAAGCCAGTCGCACCTCCTCCTTCTTCCTGTTTTATAAGCAAAAGCAAAATCACTTCTCAAATGTCTGTGCTACTTTTCACATTTGCCCTCTAATTCATCCACAACTACGGTTTTATTAAAGAAGCCTTAAACCTTTCGAGATCACAGCTAAATTTTGCAGTTCTGTGCAGGTCTTTTTTACTTCTCAACCACCGTGCACAGGAACGGTACGATGCGATTAAACACATACAGAAGGCACATAGTAGATTTTTAGCCCAATCCTTTGCAACTTTTACTGGCAAGTAAATTCCACCACCGAGATCAAGGAGAGGAACTCCCTGGATGGCAGGTTTAAAGAGCTTACTTGGACCTCATGCACTGGAGTTAGATAATACCTCAAGAGAGACAACATAACAATACCACACTGCATGCATGTTTAAAGTCTGCAAACATTATAGAGAATTGCCGAGTTTCCCAAACGGGGAGGCAACAAGTTTCCTCAGAAGCTGACTGGCTGAACTGCAGCCCCTGACGACGGTAGTCTTCCCCAGCTTGGCACCCTTCAGAAACATTGGATTACAACCCCCATCATCCCCTAGCCAGCAAGGCGGAAGGCTAGGAACGATGGGAGTTGCGGTCCAGCGTATCTGGAAGACGAGACGTCGGGAAAGGCTGCTGATGCCCCTCTGGCACATGCGTTCTGAAGTAGCCAGGTCTTAGTGGGGAGGCAACGGAGCACATGAAGAAGGCGGGAAGGGATCGGTGGAAAGTGTAAGGGTGGGGGGTGGTCCTACCTTGTTCGAGGCCATTTCACTGACGGAGTGCCTGGTCTGCAAGGTTTCCAGCTGGTCCAGGCACCAGTCCAGCTCCTCCAGGGTCTCGCTGGCCAGTTTTTGGTAGGCCTCCTCTGCGAAGAGATAGGGAAAGGCGTACTCAGTTCGCAAGCGTTTCACGGGGCTAACAGCAAGCTCCAGCGGGTCCATCGTGCCATACCCAGCCATGGGGAGATGCCCAGTGCCCACACATGAGTGCTGCTCCTTCATATTGTTGAGGCCAAGCAATGGTGGAGAAAGGCGGGCTTTGGTCTCAGGCGGCGACCACGAAGAAACAAAAGTCTCTCCAGCCTTTCCTTATCAAGCCGAAGCAAAGACACTTGGCGGGCGGAGAAGCGCTTGTTTCGGTGGCGCTTGCCGAAGGGGCGCCGAGCAGAGAAACCGGAGACGCGCGCCGGGTCCTCTCGCGGCGCGGAGTCCCTCAGCTTTTAGAGCGCATGGTGGCTGGCTGGCTGAGGAGGCGGCGACGGCAAGCCGGCGCAAAGAGCTGCGTCTCTGTGGCTGCTCTCTCTGGCAAGCGAGGGACTTTGGGAGACACGCAGCCAAGCGCTTTCCGTTCCCCGGACTGGAGACGGGCAGGCAACACCTCCTCCCCCCGCTCCCCCCGGGGGGTGAGCGTCAAGCTCCAATGAATCAGGACGGTGGGGCGGCTACAGCCGCCGCCGCCGCCGCCGCCGCCGCCATGTGTGCGGCCACCACGTTTCCTGTTTGCTCAACTTCTCCTCTTTGCGCAGGAGAAACCGCGCGGGGGGGGGGGGGAGAGCACCACTCGGCTTTGGCTGCCCTCTAAGGGAAGCCCGTCTGTTCCCTCAATCCTCCCGTTCTCTTTTTCCTTCCTTCCCCGCGGGGGAGCCTTTGCGCCTTTCAACCCTTAAAGCGATCCTTCCTGCACTTTGTCTCATGGCCAGAGAGAAAAGCGCCCCAGCGCTTCTGTCTTTGAACAGCCGCCGCCGCCAGTTTTAAACAGTGGGAGGGGGGTGCGTGTTTGCGGCTGCAGTAAAAGGATGCGTGGCGTGGAGCGGGAGGGAGGGAAGAAAGCAAAAACTCGGCGACTTGCGCTGTGCCCCCCCGCGCCCCGTTCTGTTCCCCTTGTGGGACGGCTAGGCTCCGCTCCAGCGCACACGTGGAGCCCCACGCGGCTCGCTTCGCACAGGCCATGGCCACCTGCGCGGGCCAACCCGGGAGAGGGTCGTGACGTGGCCAAGAAATCCCCTTCTCCACCCCCAGCTTCAGACAGTGAGTGCCTTATATAACCACGAGCCATCATGCAGGCCAGCGCGGCTGCTGCTGTCCAGGGCGTCGAGGAGGAGAGACACAAACAAGAAGGCCCAGGGATGTAGCGCGCTTGGCAGGAAACTTGCGGAGGGTGCCCAGAGCTGATGGGCCAAACAACTCAAGAAAGTTTGGCCCCTCATCGGCACAGTCCTTCTGCACTGGAGGGGTGCTGCGGGGCAATTTTAGCCTCAGGACTTAATGGTCTTACTTCGCCATCCCTACCTCGAACCCTTCCTTAGATGGCTTTCTCTATTATTTCTCCTGTGTGTATGATAAAATGTGATAAGCCATGCCTTGTGCATTTGGGGGCCCTCCTGTTGCTAGCTGTGCTGACCTGGCACCTGGACTTCTGCCCTGACTTTTACCCTGATGTGGCCACTGGGCTTTTCCTTTTCTCACCAAGCTGGCCAGGGTGAGAGGGGTGGGGACCATGGCAAAGCAGCTGTGTTTGTGGTATTCTACATTTGGACTACTAGTTCACCATAAACATCGAAGTCTCTTGGCTGTCAACCTGATTCTGGCATTCACTTTCACAAACTATTGGCTGCTTCATCAGATACGGAATGTTAGGAAAAGTTTTTGTTTTTATGTACTACATTAGACATGGGGGAAGAATTGTTGACAATAATGTACATTGTGCCAAAACCTGAAATTCTCAATAATATTCCATGCACCTGATAAAGTGGGCTATAAAGACCATGAACATATATTCAAAAATTCAGTTGGTTAGATGCCACAAGACTCTGCTCTTTTTGCCGCAACAGACTAACATAGCTACCCCTGGAAACAGCTCACCAGACACACACATGGGCTACAGAGAAAGAAACCATTCACAGGATACTCTGGGCACACTGTGGCCATGTGCAAAGCCTGCACATGGTGACTACTTCTGTCCACACCCCCTCCTGAGCTAGAAAGTCAGTCATTTTTCTCCAGCAGCCACTTCCCACAGGATGCCAGTTCTGATGGTCTGCCAAAAATCTTACTGTGTTGAGCAACCGATGCATGGGACTGATTCGCCATGGGCTGAAAGCTGATACAGGCAAACCTTTACAGCATTTTTATGCATTCCACGGGCAGCTGTAAGGAAGAGATTTAGGAGGTGTAGTGGGGCCATTCTGTTGTGGGCAGCTGGTTTGCTGCCATGTGTGCAGAATGCTGGACTAGATGGAGCATTGGTCTGATCCAGCATGGCTTTTCCTACATTCTTATTCATCCCATCCCTCCTCTGGCACCACTTAGATCAGCACATGCTTAAGGGCCTGATGAAGATTCTGCCTGTGGTTTTCAAAGACAATGGTTTAAAAGATATTATTTCTCATCTGTAAAGTGCCAGGAAAGATCAGTGCTTTGTGGTCCTGGGATTAGATAATTGAGGACTGCTTGCAAAATGTAATAATGTCATTTGTGGGATCACTGTCTTCTCCCTCTACCTAGTGTTCTACCTGCCCATCAGCTGTGAAGTATTCCTTCACTGATCAGGTGACTATATGCTGGATTCTTAAGTGTTCTATTTAGCACACGTCAAGTACAATCTTATGCACATTTGGATATAAAGTCCTCACATTCTCCAGCCAGCCATGGGCATGCTGGCTGTGGCATACTGTGAGCTGTAGGGTTTTTTCCCTGTCTAAACAGACACAGGATTGCAACTATAATAGGCACAGTATTTTACTATCATGCAATACAATCCAGCCAAGGATGACTATTTTGCGCCCCTGTTGACTTCAGCTGGGAAGGCAGTTAAGCACATCATTAAATCTCCCTTGAAATCTATCTGATCAATTTATGCATAACTTTGGCTGGATTGTGATTATAATCACTTTGGGCTTCAAGACAACTCTTGGAAGGAGAACTGTTATTCTCACATTTCACATTGGGATCTGTGCTCACGCAAATGGCTTTGCAGTGAAGCATAAGGATTTGGACCTAGGTCTCTTTCATATTTCTCTTTTCATCTGGATAGTAGCCCACTTGGGCTTTCTTTACACCTTATTCTATATTTTTCTTTAGATAAATTATGATACATCCTGAGAATTACAGAAAATTTTTGCACAGTCAATTTCAGTGCAGCCTAGCCAAAGGTTCAGCAGGAAAAGCATTTCCAAATATTGCAGTATATTTACTTTAGACCAAATCCCTGATGGAAGGTATATGAATGACGTGTTCATCACACAGTTTGCTTTGGGAGATGAGCAAAAAATCTCTTCCAAAACTTTCCCTCAGAGACGCAATATCAATTGGGTTTTATTTGACTCTCCACCTCCCCTGCCCAATAAGCCTCTCAATGTGGTAACTGAAGGAGGAAGACCTTGGGGACAGGACTAAACCTGATCCAGGATGGCCAAATCCCAGGTCTTATTCTCCATGCCAGTGCTTAACCCAAGAAAATACAGTGACCATAAAAAATGGCATGTACAGCAGAGGTGTTGAGCCTCTTTCAGCCAAGAGCCACATTCAATTTCAGAGAAACTCTTGAGGATGGTGCCAGAAAAGCCAGTGTATTTTAGCTTAGAGCTCTTCCTGCCATCACTAAGCCTTAGGCAAGGCATTTCACTCATTCAGAAAGGGGACGGGACACCATGTGAAAGCTGGGAAACCATCTAACTATTGCCAGTGGGGTGGGAAAGGGTGAAAAGGATGGCAGTGGAAGGAGGCCTGGCCCTGGGTTCAGACTGGAACCCTAGATGGGTGGGACTGTTCCAGGAATCTGAGGTTCAAAACTCTGGGCGTACAGTGAGCCTTTTCCTCAGCATGGAGTAGCCACAACCAGCTCCTAGACATTTGGGGTTAGGGGAAAGATTCCTAACTGGGAAGTTCCAGCACCTCAGGTTTCTGTCCAAGTCACTTTCATTATCTATACTAACTACTGCTAGAAGTGGAGAAAGTTGAATGCTGCCAGACCTCTCTCCTTCTGCAAAGCTCTTTTTAATGCCAACAGAACTGTCAAAAAGCAAGCCATTTATTGTTATTTTAAATAATGACACCTGTTGATTTTGAAGGGAGAGACTTGGCTACATACTTGTGTAGTCCATTTTCATATGTATTTTTGCTCCTGGTCCCTCAAAAATTATTCATAGGCAGCCTGGCCCATGAATGCCACTATAAGTTGTAGTTATGTGTCATCAAGCCATCTTCTACTTACACTGACTCTATGAATGGAAACCTTCCGAAATGTCCTATCTATGACATCCCCCTTAAATGAGCCAGTGGCAGCAATGTTAAGAAAGAGGGTGAGGAGTGCTGGGAAAATTCAGATAAATCCTGACAGAAAAGGGTTGCTTATGTGTCTCTGAGTTATAGATTGCCTGCACCTCTTTCCCAGGAAGCACCCAAAAGTTCCAGGCCAGGTTACTATTTCACATTTGCCGTTACTTTAAAAAGTGGGACTTGATGACTTCCCCAAGAAGCTGCCAGGGCTATTGCCTTGCTGATCAGTAAGAACTGATCAGGCTGCCCGGCTAACAGCATTGCAATCACCCTCATTTGCATGCCAAGACATCCCTCCATCCTTATGTTAATACCCTGCAATCAAGTGCCACTGTATTGAGCCCCCTCTGCAGACCTCTCACCTTCTTCTGACTGTATGCACCTTATTTTGCCATCAACTGCCCAACTGATGGGCCCATGTGACTCAGAATCTATAAAATACTCTGTATATGTTCTAAAAGCTTGTAGTTGGTGGTGCAGATCGCTACCTGGTAGCATGCTGCTGTAAGTAACTGCAGGGGGCCTGGGTGATCTCACCAGTAAAAACACTGGGGTTCAAGGCAATTCATTCTTCCCTGCGACTCCTGGT